TTCATCTACACGCATCCCACCAACTGGCTAAGTGTCCTCCCCTTCACCTTACACACCGTGTCCCAGACGGGGGGTGGGGGGAGGCGACGGCCCTTCCTCCCACACACATGACGTGTCACAGTTCAGTCTGGTCACAATGTTTGTGGAGATGGGGGCTCAGCCGCTTTGTGGAGCCAAGAGCATGCCGATATCAAAATTTAGAACTGGGCCCAATTTCAGGGGAGTAGTTTTAAAAGATGAGTATTTATTTCAAAATAAGAGAAGGCAAGAGATATTCTCACTACATAATTCTATCATTTTATTTATTAGATGTTTGAGTTCACGAGACAAGTTTCAAATCCAATCACTAGAGAACTTCTATGACAGAACTGAAAAGCGCTGCCTTCCCTCAGCTGTCTGCACTGGGCCGAAGATAGAGTGCAATTCAGTTCCTCGTATGCCACACAAATGGGCCTCTCCAGCGAGACAACGTGGAGACATGCTCAAGATGACAGCATTACTTCTGAGAAATCCAAACATTTAAAAGTGTTACCAGCTGACTTGCAAAAAAAATATAGAAAACGTCTCCAGTTCATAATGTTGAGACGTAACTGCCAGTGGGTGTGAGAGACACCTCAAGTTAGTGTCCTTCTCAAGTCCAGACACAGGGTCCTTTCTGGCCCTTCTACCACGGACTTCTAAAGGAGCTGTAAAAAATACTTCGGGGATCATCAGATGGCTGGCAAGATACTTTCTTCGACATTCTTACATGGAGTAAGAAAAGAGGGAATAAATGAAGCTCCGGCCCCTTACACGGAAAAACCGCTTCTCTTTCAAGCACATCACTTCCTTCCGCCCTTAGGAGATGGGGAACGCCTCGCTCTCCTGCAGCTGACCGACCAGTCAAAGGTCTCTGATCTTATATCTCTCTGTGTAACTTGCCAAGGACATGGTTGAGAGTTTATAAGCTGTAGTACAAACGATGAAAAATATCTCTATGCCCAGAAAAACCAAGTCATAGACTAACAGGCTGAACAGTCAGTTCATCACCTGAAGACCCGGCCTCCACGCTTGGTTCCTGCTCACGTGGAAAGGGAGAAACGGAGCCGCCCTCACTGGGCTCCCCAGATAGCTCTCCGTACAACGGGAGAGCACCTCACTCATGCCAGAGAGGTCAGGTGCAAAATCATACGCCCTAGAAGATTGTGAGCCCCACAGAAAAAGCAATAAATAAAAACTCTCCCCGTTAAATGTGCTCAGCGTCATCTCGTGTGCTGAGCAGAGGGCCTCGAAACTCCCACGCGACACACGGAGACAGGCTGGGGCAGTACGTGTCAGGCACTTGTGTTGGTGAGGCTGCACTAGTCTCTACCCCTCCCCTGAGGCCAACCCACCCGTGGACAAAGCTTCTCACTGAAAGTCCAGCAAAACTGGCCGCTCCCGGAGAGCACTTTTCAATCCAGTGAGGATTACGCTGATTACGAAGATGCTGTGTTCACTCGTCAAACATTTACCGACATCTACTGAGATAAGCAGAGGACAAAGACAACATCCTCGCCCCATCCCACAAGGAATTTATCGCCTGGAGAGGGAGAGCAGCACGGTACCTGCCTCATCGCGGAGCTCCCAGCACACACGCATGACCCGGCAGGTGCCCAGTAAAAGTCTGTAGATTCTCCCAGAGAAGGCGTTGCTGCACCTGATCCCCTCTCTCCTCTCAGTGGCAGGCCCAGGGTGCACGTGGCTCTTTAATGAAGAAAGCCAATATTCTGGAAGCTAATACTGCTTTAGCACACCTTGGAAAACTTTTTTGGGGACCCCTGCTTTGGTACCCTGAAGTAGGAATGTACCAAATGGAACCCTGATGGACCAAGGTCACCAGCCATTTCTCTGGAAACGTACTACCCACAGCACTGGGTACCACGGTGAAGACAGCTACCCCTTACTATGCACACACGAAGGTCCTTCCCAGATGCCACCCAGGGACCTCCCCTCACAAACGATGAAAACGACACTTCCGAACTGCCATCATTCAAGTGGTAGTGCAATGTAACAGGACACCTTGATACAGACAACATCCCGTCCGACAGCCCTGCAGACTCCCTTTTGGTCATTCCACAGTTTGAAAAGCCCGTTAAGTCCTCATAGCGATGAAAAACTAAGCTAAACCGTGAATGTAGAAATGTCTCAGGCCGATTGTTATAGTATACCAACTGCCAGTTGGTAAAGACTGTCTTTAATCTTGCTAAGGGAGAGAAATGCAGACACCAAGTACAACTTACTACAAACTACAAATGTTTCAGTATTTACACTCAACGTGAGTTTAACACAGTAGTATAAACCGAAGGTCAACAGGCTCGAGAATTCTTCTGAAGCACCAGGAGACAGTAATATACGTAGTTAGAACTACAATTCCCAAAGTAAACACATGCAAACAGATTTGTCAAGTCACACACACATGCATGTGCACACACACGCACGTGCACACACACCCACTCCTCTCTCGCTTTCTTCTCACAGGATGCACGCACTATCAAAAACAAAAACAGAAACACTTCATTTTAAATGAAACACATCTTTTTAAAAAATCTATATTTGGATGTCTTAAAGAAACAAACAAACCAACCTAATTCAGGCAATAACCTAGGAAAGATCTTTAAATATTTGCTCTAACCTGAGTCAATTTTCCTTCTGTTGGTGGGATAATAAAAATAAATTGCACTTCCCCCACAGATATTTGTATTTAAAATTTTAGGAACTGTCCTTAGCCACCAATTCCAACATAAACCTGGTAAAAGTGCCTTATAGAGAAAGAAGTTATCAAAATTTTATCAAGAAATGATGTTTCAAGGCATAAGTGGAATGTTAAAACACAAACCTGCATGAAATGAGTTAAAATTTATTTCATAACACTGAAATAATAGTTTACAAAAAAGTCATGACTTTAGGACATAATAAAATTAATATATCCCTATACTTCAACACAGTATTTTTATACATATTATATAGTAAAATAACAGTTTGGCACTTAGTAGCTTTTGTTGGTTATTGCATCCCATATTATGTGGCAATTTTGTTTTATAAAACATTATCTAATTTCTGCAGCTACAGTGTCAATGAACTGCATTAAAAAAAAAAAAAGCAATACTTCAATCAACTGAATTTATCAAGTCATGCAGGCACTAAGAACACTGCAACAGGAACTCACTCACTCCTACATGATAAACTGTCTCCTTGGAGAGGCCTGGGATGGACTGGGAAGAATTTTATACTTCAGAGACTGAAAGAAGAGAACCGCTGACCCTCACAGCCTCAGCAGGATGTCAGTCACCACTTTAATGCCCCCCAAGTGCAGCTTCTGAACATGACGTGCTGTTCGGGATATCTCAACAAGGCGAATTCAGTGTTTCTGCAGTGTGTTTCCTCTGAAAGTACTATTGGAGTGTGAAAAGAAAGTTTTCTTTCTGTGCAGTGGCCACATAGCTTGCTCTGACTAAGACAGTCCAAGTATGGTTGGGGAAATGTGCAGGCTGCTGACTATACACCGCTAACACTCTACGCCTGGCTCCGAGACAGCGAGTCCACATTACTTGAGTGTGTGGCATGCCTGGCCTAGACCTCTGGTACTGAAGGTAAAAACTGCGCATTCTCTCGGACAGAACGCCATGGGCGTGGCCTTTTAGCAACTTTCTTAAGACTACACCGACTTCCAGTAGGTGTAAGGAAAAACAGCAGCGAGGTCACCCTGCTCTACATCCATGGGTGGCAAAACGCGGTCATGTCTCCTATGCATGTTAAGAGCATACTAACATTCCATGTAGGAAGTTTCTAGAAGGGATTTCTGTCCTCAAATTTACAACCAAAGGATATATTCATTTATTCATCATTAAGACAAAATGCTGCTTCTTATAGCCATAGCCTAAGAGGAAAAGAAAAGCTCTAGAAAACAATTAAAAATGAAGTATTCTATATTAAATTGATTAGAAATTTAATATTGCATAAAGTTCAAATTATGAAGTGATCAAGCACTCCGACGTCCCTGATTTCACAGACAGGTGGTACACACTGAGTGAAAGTAAAACGTCTTACAAGATACGTCCCCTAACGAAGGATGGCCCCCAGCCCAGTGGCAAGGGGGGTAAACGGGCTGAGGTGGGAGCGAGAGACAAGAGTAGAGGGAAAG